ATCAAAAGATAGATTTGATCACTTTACAGAATTAAACTATTTATTTTTTTTCTAATTCTGTTTGGGATAAAATAAGAATATTGCAATATTGCATCAGAATGACATTTTTGCGGGGGAAATAGACAAAATATAAGTGGAGGCTGAAAGGAGGGATGAATAAAGGAGAGATGAATCTGAACAAACAGCGGCGAGTCCGCGAATTGAGTGGAGATCACATCATTTGAATGAAAAGGCACGTAAGCTTGAGGCAATCTGTCCCAGTCAGTTTATAAAACAAAATCTATTGTAGCAATCTTTCTGATACTTTAAGCCTCTGGGATAACTTGGAAACCGTAAAATAGGCATCAACTCGCCGGGGTGCACTACTATTAGAGAAAATACGGTAGTAATCTTCATTTGAACGAAAAGGCACGTAAGCTTGAGGCAATTTCTCCCCGTAAGCTTATAAAACAAAATCTATTGTAGCAATAGAATTTTCTTTCTGATACTTTAAGAGATCAGGATCATTGCCATTGACAGCCATTGACACAGTCAATTTTTGTCTTAAATCTTGTCACTAACCATGGAGGAAAAAGCTTTCTTGGTGTTTATTCTCAAAATTTATATTAAACTTGGTCACGGATTTAATAGAATGTTTCAAAATTGTAAAAGACGGGTAACCTATCCCTTTTTTTCGAGATTTATTCAAAGTTAATCCCACGGTTAGTTCAAGGAGAGGTTCTTTCGTTTGAGAAATTCCAGTCACCTTCAATAAGTTTGTGTATACCGTATTTTCTCTAATAGTAGTGCACCCTGAGCGTCGCCTAAATTGCTCAAAATCTCGAGAATCGCTTATCAGAACCTATCGATGTGGGGTCGGAAAATGTAGCTGACGATGAGATCTAGTGGGGGATTTGAGTGTTAAGCTTCTGCGAAAGCTTCGAAACCGTAAAATCGCCACCAACTCGGCTCGCTGGGGTGCACTACTATTAGAGAAAATACGGTAACTCTTTTCCAATAAGAACTACCAGAATTTCGAATCGACTCCCCAGAGTTTTGAGAGAGTCCAATAATCTCAAAACCTTTAAATTATCTGTAGATGATCTTGCTCTTGAAGCTCTAGTGGGTCCTTGACGTTATCTGCGCTATGGGTGCTATATTACATATATTTTATCGTGTTGCTTTTTATCGGCCCTTTTCGTGGTATGTGTATGAATTTATGTTTATTAATCTTAAATCTAGTGCATTTTATCTCAGGTCATGAATAAAGTATCTATCTAAACTTCTAATGAAAATTGCCTCAAATTGTTTGTAAAAAAGAGCGATAAAGTGATGAAATTGGTAGATTTTATTGGGAATGAAAAGTTGTGGTCGAATCGGCTTCTGATTAAATGTTGTAGTCGAATCGGAACAAGTTTCACTTTCTTTTTGAGTCCTTAAATCTATCAACTAATAAGCTATCGGAGAAATTATCTGCTATAAACAGTTAGGCAAAAAAGTATCTAAAAGATTTTGAAAGAAAATGCAATTTTTCCAAAAAGTCTGAAAAATCAAGGATAAAAGTATATAAGAGATGGCTTGGGGACATTTCATTGCTGAAAAGAACGGGATTTTATCCAAATCTAAAATACGATTGGATAAGTCGAACAGATACAATTAAGGCTAAATTGAATAAACGAAAACATTTAAAAAAATCTAGTACTTGTTCAAAGAAAGTGAAAAACTTTTGCAGTAAATGAAACTGTAACAGAACTCTTCAAAACTAACAGAATTCTTCAAAACTAACATCGAAGTTAACATTTAAAAGTGTCACCGTTCAAAAGGACAAAATCATAGTAACAATTTCGTTTTGAAAAGCAAAGAAACATTACTTTCAAAAGCCATTTCATGAGCTAAAACGGGAGGAATGAGTGGCCCTAGTTTGGGGACATTTCATTGGAAAGGAAAGGGTGGAAGGGCCGTAGTGGGCCCTTTTCTGTTGTTGTGTCTCATCGATTTCCCCCACTCTTTCTCTCCTCAAAAATCTCTCTAATTCCTCTATATTTTTATATTCCTTTTTCCTTGAACTCTTTAAATTATTGCATCTTTTCGTGTTTTGAAATAGTGTCTTTGTGCGCGTTTTTGTTCGTTTTTTCCGTTTTTTTTGCCCTTTTCTGGCGGGGATTTAGCGAAATGAGTTTGGGGTTAAAATGCAAAAAAACTTCTTTTACTAAGTATTTGCAGTTAAAGGTTAAATACCAGTAAATTTATGAGTAGTAATTGTAAAAGAAAGAAATGCAAGTCACTGCTGGAATACTTATTGATAATTTATCGAAATTAAATAATGGTTGACGAGCTTTTACTTTTTGGGAAGGTAGCATCGATGGTTCTACCAGGAAAAGAACAAAATAAGGTAATTAAGCTAATTGAAACCTGGTTGTTTAACTGTCAAGCTCTTTTCGAATGATCATAATGAATTGTTGCAATGTTCATTCCACTATCGCCACTTGCAACCACAATCTCCCCATTGATTTTGATCACAACACCAACTGGAGACTAAACTTACTACAAAAATGTCCACTCGCACGTCAAAATGTTCACTCATTAAAAACTTTATAACAAGAAGAAAAAAATTGCAAAAACTGAATGAAAATAGGTTTTATCATTACTTTATCACTACGATCAATACTTTGTGTGACCACGTCCAGAATACGATCATTTTTTTTCATTAGATATGCATGTTAGACATATACTCGAGATAAAGCTAGCAGAAATCGAGCTACACAAAATTCCAACTTTTCAGCTGTACTTGCACAGAAAATAAACATCAACAGGGCACGTTGAAAGATCTTTGAAATGCGATTCACTAACGGATATTGTCAAATCAAACACTTCGACTGGACAACGCCCGCCCGAGCCGCCTGGGTCCGGTTCATCCACCGATTAAAATACTGTTTAAGCCTAAAAGACCGTTTCAAATCCTTAAAACATCATTCATCCACCAATTTAAGGTGTTTTAGTTAAGTTTTAGTGCTCTAAAGGTGTTTTAGTTAAAAGACTGTTTAAAATCGGTGGATGGGATGGTGTTTTAAGGATTTAAAACCCTAAAACAGTGCTTTAAGGCACACCTAAAACACTGTTTTAACGTTGAGTCTTTTAATTAAAGCTCTTAACCAAGCGAGAAAATTAAAACGGTTTTAATTCTCTCGCTAAAATAGTGTTTTACTGGGCCATCGCGTATTCTGCATTGTATTCGATGGCACACTTGGCAGCTAATTTCCTTGCTTTCTTACTATTAGAGCTAAGTTCAAAATTTAGAGTAGTCTAAAGAGTAGTAGAAGTGATTCTAGCGCAGCTTTTCTTAGTCGTCAACCAAAAATAAATCTTGCAGTGCGTTGCAATGCAATGGAAACTCAAGGCTGATCAACATAGCTTTTTGTACAAAATATGGTGTATAGAGGACATTTTTATAGAGGACCGAATGCACATTTCACTTTTTTATAATTGTGATTTGGTTTTGGGTGACTTTAAGATTTATTAGGTTGGTGCAAAAGAAATTTCGGTCGATATAAAATGTTCTTATTTTTTTAATCTAAAGAGCTTATTTGATGTTCTTTTGTGCATTTGTACTCTTGGATATTTACTTTATTTTCGCATTTTTTCAAAGTCAGAGCTTTCACTTTTTAATTGATTTTTGCTTTAGATCATGGTGGATCAAAAGTACGTTCTGCGCACGTGTCTTCTCTATGACTTCAAAATGGGCAAAAACGCTGCTGATTCACATCGTGGTCGCTGTTCCGCCTTTGGAGAACAGGTTATCACCGAAAGATCATGCCAGCTCTGGTTTGCCCAATTCCGAGATGGTAATGAATCCCTTGAAGACGAATCGCATGGACATCGTGCCACAGCCATCGACAACAATGAATTGAAGCTGATCCAATGCAAACAACACGAGAACTTGCCAAACATCTCCAATTCAACAATTGTACGCCATTTGGAAATAATTGGAAAGACAAATCGTAATGGACAATGGGTTCCACATCAATTGAGTGTTGAGAATCTGGGAGCACGCGTTCCGATCAGCCATATCTTGCTCCAGAAGTCGAAAAGAAGCCATTTTTTTGAGAATATCTTGACGATGGATGAGAAGTGGATTCACTTTGATAATACTTCTCGAAAAAGACAATGGCTGAGCAAAGGTCAAGCGCCAATTCCAACTCCAAAGCCGGATTATCATGGGCGCAAAGTGATGTTGTCTTGCTGGTGGAATATCAATGGACTTGTTCATTTTGAATTATTAGAGCCCGGAAAAACAGTCGATTCATCTTATTTTATTCAACAACTCAAGAAGGTTGACGAAATTTTGCGTGAAAAAGGCCTAAATCCCTCAACTATCAACTTTCTCCGTGATAATGCTCCAGCTCACACGGCAAAAACCTCTTGTAAGGAACTAGAGAAGCTAGGATGGAAGGTCTTACCACATGCGCCGTATAGTCCAGACTTAGCACCCTCCGATTTTCACCTTTTCAGATCGATGCAACATTCCCTTGAGAATTGCCAGTTTAAGAATGCAAAAGAAGTCGAAAATTGGGTGACCAACTACTTTGCATCACAGAATCAAGCGTTCTTTGAGAAGGGGATCCGCAATCTGAAGCAACGTTGGAGGGATGTCATAGATAATAATGGTGCTTATTGTTTTAAATAAATTGTTATCAAAAAAAATTTTGGATGACTTTAATGTTTGTAAAAAAACGAAATTTCATTTGCACCAACCTAGTAGATTGAAAAGAGAAGATTCATCCAAATGCTTTTGAACAAACAAAAATGTCGGTTTCACTGTTTTAAACAAGATTGGTTTTCATTTCACTTATAAAAATATTCAAATTTAGCTTACTCAAACACGACGTTAAAGACAATATTCACCGATACAATAGAGTTTTGCTAAAACGCGCCGTTTAAAATTAGCAGAACCAAAAATTAATCGAAAAATAGTGAAAAGTTTGTGTCAAAGCATGAAAATGTACGAAAAAGATATTCATTTATCCAGCCGCATTGTTGAGACAAGTGATCGATGTGACGGTTGTGACCGTTCCCTGGAAAATAATTGAATGATAGCTTGAATGAAAATACAGTTAAACTTCAATATAACGACCATCGATACAACTAATTTGAAATTCTAAATCTTGATTTCTGCATAGCTGCCCAGTCAAACGCAATCGTTGGGCCTTCAGGGCAGCTACACACAAAATTTGGCACATTTTAGAATCGTTATACCGAAGTTTACCGAAGTATCATTATACCGAACTGTAACTCAAACTACTTTGAATGGCCGCTGGTTTGATCAGATGATGGAAAACTTTTAATAAATAAAAATTAAAACTCAAACTATATGATCTAACAGTTTCCTTAATTCCACTCACTTGCATATCCGTGTACTGCCAAATTCTCGAAGATCGCATACATTGCAATCCGACCATTGTGTTGATTCCATTTGGTCCAGTGGCAATCGTTGTCGCTCCATTGATTTGGATTATCGTCGGATCGGTGACCCCATCGTCCCGGACACTATCAACAATATAATTTTATTAGCTTGCCACTTTTCACTTCAATACCTGCAAATGAAGTTCGCGGTGTCGGGACATTGAGACAATTGTGGATTGAAGAGGGCTCGTCCAGTCGAAGCCGCCTCATTGAACACATCAATCGGACAGCAAGTGCCTGGGAAAGTAAGGGATTTCTGAGGATTCAGTATTTTTGAAATATCTCTATGAGTAAATGAGTATATATTGTAAGCCAATCGCATTCAAAAACCAAAAAAGTTTGCTTCTTAACGACAAAAATTTGCCTAAGAATTGGTAACCTTCGTAAACCCTTCTGCAAAAGCAATTGTACAGTAAAACTCTATTGATATAGCTTTACATAAAAAGCTTTATCTAAACTTATCCCTAAAATCTCTACTTGAAGGTCCATTTGTGGGTGAAGTTGGAGCACAAGCGGTCACGATTCCAATAAGAGAACTCACGAAGTACAATAAGATCATAGCTGTGGAAGACTGAATATTCAAACTGAACTGATTTCAGAGTTCTTGCTTTGAGACACGCTATGTCACGTACTAGTTTATCAACTCTCTTTTTTTCTTGAACAAGACCGTTATGATGTCGATAATTGACCCGTGAACTGGTTCTTGTGAAATCAGGAAAGATTTGGGGAAAACCATTTTGAAAAACTGTTTTTCTTGAAAACTAAGGAGAAATCTTACGAGATTTTGATGAATAAATGGTTATATAAATGGTAAATAGAGATTGTTTAGACTAACAAATCTTGAGAGAATCAAAAGACAAAGTTCTCAGTTTCGATCGCATTCTTCTCTCAATTTAGCTAATGTTTAAGTAACGCAATGGTTTAACAAGATCTAGAAGCAAAAATACAGAGTAATTTCAGGGGAAAATTGTTTCAAAAAATTGGGCATAGTGACGCTCAAAAAGCGGGAAAGCTCACTAGGGAAAGGCATGAACTCAAAGTGAGGTTTTGTCTGGACTAGAGCCTGTTCCTCTCAAGCAAACAATTACTTGAGTAAATTTGCATTTAAGATTTTTTGCTCAAGTTGCTCAAGTTCAAGTATTTTTGCATTTAATTGTCAATTAATGCGCATTCTAAACTGCACCTAATCTTCAATTTGAATATATAAAGCAAACTTACAAAATCATTTTCATTTTTTTTCTCTATCAGTTAAATGTGTATGATGCGCGAATTTATGTGTGTTTTTTTGATCTTATTTTTATGATTTGATTAAGTTTTGATGGGTTATTATTTTTTAAGTTAACAATAATAAGGAACAATTCAAATAAGCGAAGAACCACAACAACGAGGACAATTTTTTCTGTATCTTTCCAAATCTTTAAAAAATAACTGGAATTTAATTTTGTTTTTAGATAAGAAGTGAATAAGAAAGAAAAAAAAACAATCAAAAGAACCAAAATGAAATCGAAGAAAAGAATGCCAACAAACAGCATGACAGGTTTTTAATACTCATAAATTTTAAAAGTTCCGCAGAAATAACTTCCTTCATCGATTTCTTTTCTTTATCAGAATTAATATCTTTTTCAAATGAACATCCAGTTAAGATCAATTTTGAGACATTGTTTAAATTCATTTAAATGCAAATTTATATTCAAATAATTTGATACTTAATGGCAGAACACCAGGGCAGTTTTACAGAGGTTGTAAAGTGCTTTTACTAGGGGTGGTGAAAAACTTAACTAGGGCGGATTCAAAGCCAAAAATGTCAAGATATCCAGCCGTCCCTATTTCTCTAAAAGAAAGGGTTATCGTTTTTTCAAACTTTTTTTCTTATTTTTCAATGTTTTCGAAAAATTTCTAATTTCTGATGTTCTTAAACTTTTTCAAATCTATTTTTCAAATGAAGTAACAATGTAAAACGATAACAACAATAGGAAAAATTTAGATTTCTTCGGGTTCATTCGCACGGCGATATCCCAAATCCTAAAAATAGAAAATGTCGCAAAAAAGAGATTCAAACCGCGAGAATCAAGTCGCGCTTATCGTCGATTCGCTGGAGCTACTGTTGCATTTGATCCAAACGTGCGAACAGTCAAATCGTTCTTTCACCAGCATTCGTCACAACAATTGCACTCTTGCCGATGTCCTTGCTCATTTCTTTTGGAGCAACTTTTATCATTTTGCAGCTAATTACGCGGTCACACAAAGAACACCTCGGCATTCATTTACATAGCGGTTTTCCTTTTGCTTTGTAGATGATACAAAAAGAAGATATTGAGCTGTCAATTTGTATTCGAGAATCGATTGGAGTCATTCATTCCCTTAATTCCAAAAATTCTCTTTAACAGAACAGAATCTTTGATTTTTTGTATTGTAGCAATAGAATTTTGTTTCTGATACTTTAAGAGATCAGGATCAAATCGCCATTGGCACAGTCAATTTTTGTCTTAAATCTTGTTGTCTAGCGTCTCAACCCTCAACTCAACTCTAGAAAGGCCAAGTTGTAGAACGTTCTTCCTTTCCTCTTTTCCCTGCCCTCTCCCCTTTCTCTCCAATCTTTTCTCCATTTTCCATTCCACAACCGTTTTGGAACACGTGTGCTAAAACAGCGGTTTCTCGAAGATCTTTTTATCCTTTTCCTCTCTCAATTCTTCTCAAAATTTTCTCCGTTTGCAGGTCATTTGATTGACTCATAATCGGAAATTTTTGGAGTTATCTCAAAAAATCTTTTGGAGTTTATCTTGGATTTGAACCGTTCTTATTGATCTTAAGATTCGTTTCACTTCGGTTTAATAGTTGTTTGTTGAGTTTTGTTGAATTGTTTTGTTGAATGCCTTTTACTTCCAGAACTTTTAGAATTTTGCTTTCTAAGGGATATTTCCACGATTCAAAGATAATTCGAGTGTGATTTGTTTTGTTTTTTTTTAAATTTGCTCTATTTAGTCCAGAGAAAGTTTAAAGAAAAACGAAAATCTGAAGTTTTTGTAGCAAATAATATTTTACTAAAACTATATTTGAAGTTTTTCGTTTTTGCTTAACCAGGTGTGGGGGATCGATCGATAGGCAATGGCGATAGAAAAGGGAAAGAGGACAGTTCTTTTTCTTCTCAAAAGCCACTCGTCGACTCGTGATTGTTATGCGTGTATGGCTCTGTCAATGTGGCGTGTTTCATTCCAAATACACAGCTTTTTCCTGTTTCTATTGGTTCTTGATGACCTTTTCTGCCGTATGCCACATAATCATACAAATTTTTGTGTTTTGTTGGTTTTTAAAGGTGAATTTGATATTCTAGAACTTATTGAAATTGGAAAATTTTAGGCCATTTTTTGATCCTTTTGCTCCTGGTTTTTTCGAAGAGTTTCGAATTGAAAAACATTTTAGTTTTTGATTTTCTTACGGTTTTTTGGATTGCTTTTGATTTTTCAGCTCAAAATTACTCATTTCAGAACCAACCAGCAAAAGTGTAAAGAATCAAAGACGATTCAAACCCCATCCACCATTTTTCCCGTGGATGGGCAATGTGGGGATTGCTGTTGGGGAATCGACCAAGGCATTTCGCCCTTTTCTGGATGGCCTCAACGATTGGGATTATGCTGATTGGAACAACGATTGCTCAAGCACAACAACCTGTCATTGAGGCGATCGAGGATGGGCAGGTGAGTATTTTATGAAATCTTACACATGAATACTAGGTTAGCGCATAAGTCTTTAGACACTTTTTCTACTAGCGTTTAGAAAATGACAAATTCACCAATTGACCTACAATTGGCTCTAAATAGAAAATGTTTATTAATCATTTTTCTATCTTTTTAAGGCAATTTGGGTCCTTTTCCAAGCAAATTCGAGTGCAAAAACTTGTTTTTTTTTTGTAAAATTCGATAAAAAAGCTCTACAAAAGAAATCGGGTGAACAGATTATCCTGAAAATTCGGCTATATACCTAACTTTTTGCGTTCTATCTTTTATCTATTGACAACAACATAGATTTCTGTGAACCAAAGCGCCTAAATTGCTTTTTTTGACTACCCGACTTCGTGCTCCCATAAAAAAACCATAGATAAAACATTTTCATAAGATTCGAACGTTATTTTGTAGAAAAATAACAGATCTTTCTAATGGAGCCAATTGTAGGGCAATTGGTGAATTTGTCATTCATAAACGCTAGTAGAAAAGAGTGCCTAAAGACTTATGGGCCAACCTAAGAGCTAATGAAAGCTTTAAGTACAGCTTAGTAAGCCGCAATTGCAAGCACTAAAGATTCTCTAGACTAGGCTAATTTAGATTTGAACTGAAGTCCATCATTTCATTTCAGGTAATCGATCAAGATCATGACTACATTGAGCCAATCCCGTTTAACTATCCACAACCTGTGGCACCTCGAGTTGAAGCTGAAAACGATCACGAGCTGCAGGCACCATGTTGCGGAAGCGCGGCACATCTCGACAATTTGCACTATCTGATTGTAAGTGAATGTCCTAATAAGCCTTAAACCTTAGAACTAGAGCAGACTGATAGTTTTCAGGTTGCTACGATGGACGGAACGATTCGTGCGCTAGATGTGGAGAGAAACGCGGAAATTGCTTGGGATGGGAATTTCGATGCACAACCATTAATGGCCGGCACATTGGGAAGAGTTCAAGTGAGACAAAAACCATTGTATAATATCAGAAAATCAGGTTACCTTTGAAACAATCCTGTTTTTCAGCCGATGACAGCTGAGGGTCGAGATTTTCACTTGGTGCCGGCATTGGACGGATCGCTTTACATGTATAGTGTAAATGAGAGGATTCTGGAGCCGATTCAGCTGAATACCGACTCATTGTTGCAGGTATATTTATAAACTTTAAAATTCTTGAAAAAAACCGAGTTTAGGCTTCACTCAAATTGGGAAGCGAGGCGGTGGTCGGTGGGAAAACCGTTTCAACAACGGGAGTCGATCCAGTTACTGGGAAGGTTTGTGTTGAAGAATTTGATGCAAATTTACTATATATCACAATATAATATAGTCGTGCCATTTAAAATAAGAAAATCAAGATTGAGTGGCACTACGGGGGGTCGAACCCGGGTGGTGTGTGCCGTAGACAAGCGCGCTGCCGACTGGGCCACGGTGACGAAACGAAGGGACCAGAAAAACCCGGTATTATGCGGGTTTTTCAGCTGGTTGATTGATAACGCAAGAAAATGTAAATTTCAGGTACGATACCATTGTGATATGGGAAATTGCGAGAAGAACACTAACGAGGATCAAAATAATATTGCACACGCGACACTGGTGTTCAAACGATCTGGGCACGCGATTCGGGCACTGGATGGGTTCACTGGAAATGAGAGGTTCAAATTTGAAGATAGAAATCAATTTCCATGTTTCAAAACTTTAGATGGAATCTATCAGTGGCTGAATATGAAGCCTCTTTGCTTCTTCGCAATCAAGATCAAACGGGACATTCTGCAAAAACTCCGTTGTCTTTCCGAGTCAGTCCTCCTGAAGGTATGGATATTGAAAAGGAATTAAGACTTAAATCTAATATTATATCTGAATTATGCTGTAAAACTTGTTATGAATACTAACATTATCTTTTGAGGAATTATCACCGCTTATGACAGTTGTGGAGCCGAGCGCTGGACGATCACTGTCGAAAATCACGTCGCTCACATGTGGGAGTTAAAGAATAGCGAGCTTAGAGAGGTGAGAATTAGGTTTTAGTTAAGAATTCTGTTTAAGTCATTTCTAATAAAGTCTTGTTTAAAATCTACAAATTTCAGATCTCACTTTTTGAATCGAAAAACATCCACACCTTGTCAGCTGAAGATGAACTGGCTCAACGAAGAAAGGAGCCGCTTCTGGACTCGCAATCGCTTCTTTACTTGGGTTTGTTGATTAAAATTTTACATTGAAGAAAGAAAACCTAGATATTTAATATAAAAAGTTCTTCTTTAGGTACTTCAAACAATCAGCCTTTTATCATTCACTCTCCAAATCTGAAAGCCGAGTCGACGATGAGATTGGCTACAAGATCAACTAGGTAAGCAAGGTTTATAAGTTTAGCATTGTTTCGAATATCTTCAAAATTCATTTTAGAGACAGCCATGTCAGTTCTCGCGGGCAACTCCTTCCAGCTGTGCGAAACACGTACATCGTTGAGCCAACAAGTCTGGTTGAAATGCTGACGACATCATATGAAAATTCTGTATCACGAAGAATGAGAACAAGAACTGAGGAAATAAATGATGAACATAATAAACAAGTGGCATTGAGGGGAAGTCGAGAGGTACAAGTGGCTGCTGGGGAAAGGAGAGGTTTGTTGGCATCGAAATGACTAGCTTAGACTTGCTAAGCTTATTTTTTAAGCCTTAGTTAGATTTAAAACAGTTCTTTTTGAGTTCATTTCAAGTTTATTTCTCAATTTTTACCTCTAAATGGTTTATTGAAAAGTTTAGATGATTGGCCGACTAGAAGCTCGTGTCCAAATGGAGAAGGAATTGCGCTGATCGGTCAATCCGATATCAGAAGTGCCAAATTTCCGGTACCATTTGATGAGGAAGGCTCTACTGTTTCAGGTAAAATATTCGAGTTTAATATATGAGTCAAATATTATCTTTAGACGACGGTTATTTCATCATGAAACACTCATCACCCAGAAGGGGTTGGTTCCCACGAGATCGGTTTGAGCAACAATGTGGAACGGGATTCGTACCGAGATTGAGGAGGCAATTGAGATTAGATGAGACTGTCAGCGGATGGTGGTTGGTTTTAGAAACATGCTAACAATCTAATACTCATTATAGGAGAGTCATCGCTTTACTTGTAATCTCATGTCTTGGTGTGCTGATCGTTCCGATTTGGAAGATTGTAAAGAGGGTGAAAGCCGCGCGGCAAAGAAGAGCCATTGAAAGAAATGTTGTAACGGAAGTCCAAGAATCGACAACTTTGGAAGAAAATGGAGAAAAGGTAACTCTTTCAAGTCTTGAGCTTAATATTCTAGTTTCGAATTTCAGTCTGAAGAGCCAGCTGCTCGAATCATCGCCCCATCAACCTCCACATCAACCGATCTCTCTTCACCCGGTTTAATCCGTCAAAGAGCAAATCAAAGTGGTTCTGAAGCTCAATTTGAATCGAAGTAAATTAGATGAAGCTTCAAAGTTTAACATGTTTTCAGATTTTTACAAGACTACGAGGTGTTGCGTGTGCTCGGCAAAGGTGGCTATGGAGTGGTGTTTTCGGCGAGGAACAAAATGGATGACATTGTTTATGCGATAAAGAGAATCGCTGTCTCTGATGATCCGAAAGCGATTGAAAGGGTTCAGAGAGAGGTAAGGAAAATAGAATAAACAAAGAATGGAGTTTGATCCGGATTAGTTGTTAAATTTTGCTGATCTACCAAACTGTTGGCTTGGCTTGTGAAACTCCAGCTAAACTTATCTTTAGCCCGAGCTAACAGTAAGATGTTTTTTACAGATCAAATCTTATTTCAGGTGAAAACAATGGCCCGTTTCGATCATCCAGGCATCATTCGATACTATCACTCATGGAAAGAGAATCCGCCACCAGAATGGCAGGTAGGAATCGTAAAGCTGAGAATTTGTTATTATAAAGTTCAGGAAGAAAACGATCGTCAACTCTTGAAAGCCCTCAAAAGGCAGCGAGTGAGAAGAGATCATGGAGAAGATTTCACCGAAAACACCCATAGTATCTCAATTCCACTAGCTGTTGGAGCAAGTTGTAAATCGGATGAACACACCGATTTCCCCGAAGATCCGCAACCGAGTTTTGAATCAAAGTGAGTGCTTGATCACACGATTGAATTTCCATTGAATTTTAGCTCCGGGAACAGCCTCGAGATCTTGGTGAACAAGCATCAAAAGCTCGCTGTGGGGTTGGAAGATCCACCAGCCGATCCAGACCAAAATGGAGACTCGGATGAATCGTGGCTGGATTCGGGAGATGGAGCAAAGACGGATCGAGCCTCATCAACATCAACAGATAGCTCGGATGATGAAGCCTCGAGTGAGGATGAAGAAGAAGCTTTAGATGGGCAAGGTTAGTTCTGCAAATTCTAAAGGCTCTCTGGTTCGAATTCGGTAGTAATTCTTAAGTTTAAGAACATGACTAACTATCGCAAAAGCAACTTCTTAAGTTTGTTTGTTTCTAGAGCATCTCAAAGAGGACTCGGACAGTGTGGTGTTCGAGGTGAGTCAGCAGAGATTGGCTGTGAATCGAACAAGGCAACAGTCAACCAAATCCACGTCGTCCCAAGAAGCCTCAAAGATCATCGAACCACCAGCAATCATTGTCACCTCGCAAAACAACGATTTGTTGCCGTCAAGAGTACGGAAGACCAAATATCACGCGTACATCTACATTCAGATGCAGGTGGGTTAGATAAAGTGATTATTTTATTGGAATAGTAAAATTCCTACCAGTAAGCCTATCTAATTTTATAAAATCAATTGATTTATAACCTATAAATCAAGCTCAATTTTCAGCTCTGTCAATCTCGTACTCTATCGGATTGGTTGAAAGCGAATTCTACCCACGAATTGAGAGAGCTTGCAAGAATGAGAAGCTGGTTTGAGCAACTTGTCAGAGCCACTGAATACATTCACAATCAAGGGCTAATCCATCGGGATATCAAGGTAAAATCTTAGATTTAGATCATTTAACTGGAAAATTTCAGCCTCAAAACATTTTCTTTGCATCCGACGACGTGTTGAAGATTGGCGATATGGGATTGGTGTCGAAGAATACGGGCAGCTTGGAGGCGATTGACGATTGTGATTGTAAGTTAAATACTAGAAAGATCTCAAAATGGCACAGTGCATACAAAACTAAAACTAAAGCTAATCATTCTTATTAGTAGTACTAAAGTCAGTTTTAGCCAACTCATCAGCTAGTGAAAACCCTCTACACACGGGTGATGTGGGCACAAAGAGCTACATGAGTCCGGAACAGGTAGAATGTTTGAAAAGACAAAATAAATAGCTTTACAAGGATTTAGCAGAATACGAAGCTCCTTATTTGACCTTGAAGTTCTAGTTTTAGTCCGTACCAGTACTCTTTCCAGTTAGCCCATCGACCCTACACGAACAAAGTCGATGTGTTTTCACTTGGGATGATTTTCGTTGAGATGATTATCCCATTCTCGACGACAATGGAACGATTGACTACACTCGGTCAATTGCAGAAAGGGCGGATACCGAAAGAGTTGGATGAGTATCCAAAAGAGGTTAGTGAATGACAAAGTTTAAGCCAAAGACAAAGCTGACGAAGTCAAGATCTGGCTTTATCAGCAGATAAGTAGTCAGGTGCTTTTGTGAGTTAGGACTACAATAAAACTAGGCCAAAACTTGGTACCTTAATTCCAGTACTTTTAAAGTTTACGAGTTAATGTTAGCAATGTAAAAGGCTATAAATTACCTTCAACTTACCTTTAGACGCGAAATTCAATTTTCAGAAAAGCTTCGCCGCTTGGCTTTGCGCCAAGGATTCATCAAAAAGGCCGACATGCGGGGATATTCTTGCAAATGAATACCTCATCGAACATAAAAACTAGATTCTTGACATTCTAATATTTGTATGGGTATCAGAATTTATCGATTTGTGATTCTCAAAGTCAGAAAATTTTCAAAAAAAAATGTAAATATAATTTGCCTAGTGGAATTTTTGTGATGTATCTCATTGTAATTTTGTCTTTTTATGGGTACGAAGAAGATTGTGAATGTTTTCAGTACGGTTTTTTTCCTTTGTACGTTTGTGTACATATTGTACGAATTCTCTGGTTAATATGAAGTTGTTAGTGTGATTCTGTGCTCCAATAAAGGCTTCGGCTTAGATAACTTGAAAAAAAAACTACATTTTATTGTCAATTTGTCATTTGAATGAAGAAGATTCTGAGGAAGTTTAGGTTTTGCCAGCAATTCTTCAGTATTGAAGACTTTTATGCATTGAACTTGAGTGACCAGAACATGAAAAAGTAATTTTAAAAAGCTTCCAAGACATTTGGCTAAAACTACTTTGAGCTGTCATAACTTTTCCCAAAGATTTTTTCAAATTGGCTATGGGAGAAATTATGGCAAAGTGGTTTAATGGTTTTTTCGGCGACTAGCCGAAAAAACTTCCCATCTAAAAGTATGCCTTGCTATTTTTCATTGCTCGTTTCCAAGCAATTCATCTCTTTCTCCTCTTCATCCACATATTCACTTAAATCCAAATGCAACCACCACCAATAGTGACCATACTGCAAGTCCTTTATCTACGTCCAATATTTCCTAGCCACACTATACTCAGACTCATTGGACGAGAAATATACCTTGGATCCATTGAAAAACATACCCTTCTCCAGCCGTGTTATCTTCATATAGTTCTCAATGCATTTGATTGATGCGTTTTTTTAGAAAAGTCACAGATTCCTCTCCTGGATTCTCCTCTTTAAGCTTGTTGTGCAAAAATCGCAAACCAGAGCGCAGCCATCGAAGTTGCGGAAAGCATTCGGGTTCAAGACGATCAGCAAAATCGGCAAAGGTTTCGTTAAACCATGGCAAAACTCGCCAACAATTCGGACAATTTCACAAAGATTTTTCGAGTTGAATGACCTGTCGACAAATGAGGCTTTAGTGGCGATCCCGAGAATTGCACTGTAAAGCTCCATTTTTGAAAGCTTCCTTATTTTCTTTCTACTTCATTATCGGTTGTGGCAATAAAGTGAAAAGCAACAAGAAAATATAACTCCGATTTAGAATCATTAACAACGACAGGTTTAACTACTAAGAACAGTTAGAAAGGTTTAACTGTTCTTAGGAAAGTAATATATTTTCAAAAGTTGTAGTTTGACTTACAATTAGATCTTTCCAGCGTTCATGTCTCATTGCAAAGGTTTGCTTGTGGCACAAATTTTTTGATGCATTGCTGCGAAAATAGACAGTAAGTTAGCAATAATTTAAACTAAAAAAAGAGTAGGTTATATTATAAATTTCAAGGATCTACGTAGTTAATAGATACGATATTTTTCTGGTATTTTAACTTTCAGACACCGTTTATCCTTTGAAAACTGGCCGATCCGGGTTTGATGTGCCCGTGTTTTCGTGGTAAATTCAAAACTATACAAACTATACAATCAGACTCCTAACAGTTCTCATTTCAATTAAGCTACAAGCACAATTCTTTGAAAAATGTATAAAGAAAAATGAACTGACAATTTAAATACTTGAACTGACAATTTAAATACTTGCAAATTTCACAATTTCACTTTTCTATTAGATGAGGACGGGAAATTTTGTTGTTTGTGCTGAAAAGAGAGAGAGAGAAAAGGTGAAGAGAAGAGATGGAAAAGATCGATCAAGCACACGAAAAAGAAATGGGAAGAGAAAGGCTCCATGAAAAAAAGACCAAAAGGGACTCCTCTATAGCCCCCAAAAATAAAAAAACGAATCGTTAAAAGCGTTTTTTTTGCAAAGATATCTGAATCACTCTATTCACTTTTCTAAAAAACCTTTTTTCATGCAAAGTTTTATTGCTTTGTGTATTTTCTTCTTTCATTTTTTGATTGACTCTTTTTAAACTAAAAACTTTAAACAAAAGATTTCGTTTTTCTCGTTTTTAAAATCCATTTTTTCCCTTTCCTAGAACCATCAAATTTCCGTGATTCAACAATGAGTCAAGAGAGAAATTTGATTGAAAAACGATGGTTAGATTATTAATTTTTAGATTTTCAAAGAATAATAATCATATTAGATAGCAAACGTAAAGAAAATAGTACTGTTTGCTTTCGGATTTTTACAGGATCTTTGCTTTTTCAATTTAGTTCAACTTTTCTTGTTAGTAAACTTAAAATTAAACGTTTTTTTATTATTTTTCTACTTAAACTTCTATTTGAAAGTTCGTTTTATCCAGTTTTCTGAAAACTCTTTCAAATTTTGTATTGTAGTTCGGCTTTCTCAACTCATTTTAGCCAACAAAAGGTGGTCAAAAGTGCCAGTCAGCTCGACGCTTTTTGGTGGACAATTTCCTTTTCTGATAAGCTTCTAATCTTTCAGATTTCTGATTGAATCGTTCCATTTGGATAAAATTCTATTTAAGCTTCTAAAAATGATGAAAATAGACCAGTTGTAACTCCCCGATTCTCCGTCGGACTAAAAATACCCATCAAAACTCGAATCCAGTTCTTTAAAGAGTCATTCACGTCAAAATCGCTCACTTTTTGTCTTTTTCATATCAGCTGATATCATTAATAAACATCTAGAGAAGGGAAGAAAAAAAAACAAAAGAAATTGAGAGAAATTAGAAAGAAATTCCGATCTTTTTCTGTTATCTTGTCTCATTTTCCCTCTTTTTTTCGAGTCCAATCTCAATAGATTTCAAAATTTCTTGATCTTTTTCTGGTTTTTCCCTTTCAAATCACACAAATCATTTGAGTTGTTTATTTGTGAGTGATGAGAAAATTGAAATGAAATAAGAAAGTCGTTTGTTTTGAAATTTCCGGAAACTTGTTTTGAGTTCGAGAAATTTAGAGTAAAGTCTTGGTTTTCACTCTTCAATTCTTTCATTTTCAAGAAAAATTCAGTTTTTCATTATTCACTCTCCTTTAAATTGTGTTTATTGGTTGCTTTTTAAACAAAGAAAATAATGTTTTTCTTTTCAATCTTTGGCTGAATCAATCTTTTGCAAAGGTGACAATTGCATTTGCACAGATTTTCATACTTTTTTTTTGTCACCCTCTCCTTTTTCTAGAAGATCTTAATGATTCATTATGTAAAATCAAGCGAATTCTTTTGTTTCGTTTCACTAATGTACTTGTAGAGCTTGTTTGTTTGTTGTTGTTGTTGTTTGTTGCTTGTTTGTTGTTGCTTGTTTGTTGTTGCTTGTTTGTTGTTGTTGTTTGTTGCTGTTTTTTATTGTTGCTTGTTTCATTGCTTTGAGCTGTTGTTTTGTAGCTAAAGAATGAAAAGATCTTGTGTCTCCTTCACTTTTAACCATTTGCGACTTTTAAATGTGAATATTGGACACAAATTCTAAGCATCAACTAAGCCTGGCTTGGAACCAATGTGTTACAGAGAGTTTTATCTCAAAAGTTGGCTGCTTCTAATGCTAAGGTGTTAAACTGAGCAAAGAGAATCATTTTATGCTTTTAATAATTGATTCTAGATTCATCTAGGCAACTTTTTATTACTCGCTTTACTCTCCAAAATATCAACTCAAAGACTCAACTCAAATATCAAATAGAAAATCCAAAAAGTATAGCAAAAGAACTTGTTGAAAAACTTGCAAAACAAAAGCAAACTTGTGTGAATTGAATTGTGACGTGTAAATTGATTTGTGAATTGCTTTGAGCTGTTGTTTTGTAGCTAAAGAATGAAAAGATCTTGTGTCTCCTTCACTTTTAACCATTTGCGACTTTTAAATGTGAATATTGGAATGTGAATGACACTAACGTGTGAATTGATTTGTTCTAGACAAAGGGAAAATAATTAGGAAAATAAAAAATAGCACTGACCCAGCCCAATAGCTATCATATTTTTCGTTTTTGAGGTGACCGGTGATTAAGCGGAAGGGAACAGTTGGCAGTCGGTGACCCGTGGGAAGAAAAGGGGGAGAGGGTTGACCCCCGAGGCTCAACTAGATTGTCCGACCACCTCCCCATTCACCTCTCCTCTTCACCCTATAATCCCGAAAGAAATCACGTGATGACCCTTTTCTTTCATTTCTTTATTCCCACTCACACAAAGGGCAACCAGCCGTCCTTTTTTTGATTGAGAGGTTGCTTGTACTTTTGGAAATGGCAATCTTGGGATAGCCAAAGTCTATCAGTTTTTTTTTTTGACTGAAACAATTTTTAATTTTCAAGGTCGATTTGCAACTCTTATTAATTGGAAAATCCATTTACTGTTAACAAAGTTTGTTTGTACTTTTTGAAAATGATTATTAGGATGGCTCCTACGATTTTGCGATAAAATGAAACCAGCAGATTTTTGCATTTGTCTCAATTAAATAAGTTTTTAAGGGTCAAGCTCGATTAATGTAATTATCTCTTTCTAAACATTTTTTTATTCTTTTCGTTGAAATCTCTGATTTCTTGTCATTTTCCCGATTTTCTCTTATCTTTGCTTTCAGAAAATGTCAGAAAATGGTTACGGATTAGCCCCGGACGGGCGACCGAAAGGAAACAAAGTCTGGGTGGATGGATGGTAAGAAATTTTTAAAGGAAAAAGGGGAGTGGGACAAATGCGACCTTTTTTTTTGCGCACCCGGACATTTGCGCACCTTTTTTTTCCGCACCTTGCCCATTAGCGCACCTTTTTTCGCATTTTAAAAAAGCTCTAAAAAGCTAATATTAACCAATTTCTATTCCAAAAGTTGTTTTTCTAGGTAATTTTAGGGCGTAGAATCGAAATTTTGACATATCAGAGCTTGTGGAAACAAACGGACGGAATTATACAAAGAGAAAAATCGACAATTTTCTGTAATTTGATCTAGCCGTTTTGGTCTTTCAAATTGGTCTTTCAAATTGGTTCCACGCGCTCTGTTATGTCAAAATTTGAATTCGACACCCTCAAATTACCTAGAAAAACAACTTTTGGAATAGAAATTGGTTAATATTAGCTTTTAGAGCTTTTTTAAAACGCGAAAAAGGTGCGCTGCGCAAATGTCCGGGTGCGCAGAAAAAAGGTCACATTTGTCCCACTCCCGGAAAAAGAATTCGACAAAGTACTAAAAATGGATTTAGCCAAGCTAGCATAAGGTAATATTGAATTTTTCAGTTTCGACATGGTCCATTTCGGGCACGCAAACCAAATTCGACAATCCAAGCAATATGGACGATACTTAATCGTTGGAGTGCACACCGATAAAGAGGTAAAATGTTAATGACTGTTAAAGGAAAAAGAAAAGAGAGAAGAAGACAAAGATCGGAAAATCACTGTATTGAATACTAAAAGTCTTACTTTAGCTGATAAAACGCTCAAGTTTAACTTTGGCCTAATTATAGATTAAAAATATTGCGATAATTGTAGAATTTTGTTCAACGAATTGTCTTGTTTAAGGGTTTTTTTTGGTGTCTACACCCATCAATTTCCTCACTGGATTCATTCAGGAATATAGAGATGATTACCTGAAGTTAAGCACTGATTCTTTTGATCATTAACTAGAACAAAGGCGTGAAGAACAAAAATTAAAGAGAATTTTAGAACAGACATAGAGAATGAGAATTATAATAGAACAGATAATAGAGAACAGACAATTTTCAATGCTCTAGGTGTTCTCAGAAGTCTTCAACTGTGCAAATTTAAAACATTGATAGAAATAAGAGTTAATTTTTGCAGAAACTGATACTAGATGGATTTTTCTGCCTCACAGGTTTTAAGGCAGATTTCCTGGAAACAGAAATTTACCTGACGCTTACCAAATTACCTGACAATTAAAGAAGGGGTTCGAATTATCACCGATTCTCAATGAAACCAAATTATAGGTGTAGTAAGATAATTTTTGATAAATAATTAAATAGTAAATCGATTTATCAATCATTTATCAGGTATGGAATCTGATGAAATATCTCAGCGTAGCATGTTAGTTTAACAAAAATTCAACCCGAGTTCCAATTGGTAGACTCAAAAAAATGAATGACTTCAATCGATTCCCGCGAAAGCCGTGGTTACCAATTTACGGCTGAATATCTTTTGAAGTCATCTACCAAACAAAAGAAAAATCTCATAAAAGGTGTTCTTTGTGCGGCCGCGTAATCGCCATCTGGCAAACCGCTTTGGTATATGGTGCTTCCCTTTCCGTCAGTAAAGAGGAGAGAAGCGAGTGATCTTTCACGATTTTTCCGTGTTACTATGCCTAAATCCCTGGGATCAATTTTTGCCTCAAATTTGGCTGCACTTTTGATATAAATTCCGTATCCCTTAAATCATTGTATTACTTACAAATAGGCTAAACCGAGAGAACAATGCAATCTCCGAAAAACTGAATATTTTGATTAAGCTATTGACAAACCAAAGAAACAAAAACGAAAGTGAAGATCGAGGCACCATTGTTGTAAAGGTTAGCGCTGTAATGTAGGCTTGAAAAAGCGTAAATCCGATTTTAACTAGCAATTGATCAATTGAGCAATCAATTGATCAAAGTTTCAAGTAAACCATAAAATTTTTCACTTTGATTTTCATGTTACAGCTTCGTTTTCTAGATCAGCTTGAACAAAGGTCCACCAGTTTTCACCGAAACCGAACGATACGCTATGGTTCGTGCGATTCGTTGGGTTGATGAGGTAAAAATGAAGATATCCAGTTCATTGGTTGAAGCTTAGCTTTAACTTTTATTGAAAAGTTTAAGCTAAAGCTCTAAACAACTGAACTTTGCAGGTTGTTGAGGGAGCACCCTACACAACCACTGTTGAAACCCTTGACAAGCACGATTGTGACTTTTGTCTGCATGGAAGTGAGTTTAACCAAAAACAGTTCGAAAAGGCTCATTAATATAGTCTTTTTAAGAACACTTTTATATATTTAAGACTATATTATTAATATACTAGAAATTAAATGATAAAATAACGATTTTAGATGATATCACTCTTGATGCTGAAGGACATGACACTTATGCTGAAGTGAAGAATGAAGGACGATATCGAGAGACTCTGCGGACACAGGGAGTCTCCACTTCGGTGAGTGATGTTTCACTCAATGAGCTGTGACTATGTAGCTTGATTATTAGAATCAAATGATGCTATAGTTTGATCAGTGAAGCATCTAAGTATTAGCTTTTTAGGCTATTTTAATTCACGATCAGAGGCATTATTTCAAATCCACTTCGATCCTCATTTTCACTTGTATAGAGTCAGCATTGTGTCTAGCGAATCAAACCGGATTTAAACTAAAAGAAAAAAGCCTCAACTTTTGCAAGAACCACTCAATAACCAGGCATTCCCAAGTTTCAAATTAATCAATCATCTTTCAAAGGAAGAATTGATAAATACTTGACTTTGACTGATAATACAGCGAATTATGAAACCTTTTTGGAAAAGTTATTGGCAAACTGACTATTGACTGACGTTATATTTTTGTTGAATAGTACTTTTCAAGTAAAATCCCACAAGTTTGATTAAAGGAATTCCTTTCTAGATGAAAATATTACCAAAGTGCCTGACTTATTACCAAAGTGCGAAGTGTTATATAGAAAAATAAAGCCCTTCACCTATCTATCAAGAACTTACCGATTGGAATTGTACAACTCAATTTAGAAGCTCTCGAATGAGTGTAAGTCGGCCTCTCTCCGGTAATCTGCCATTTTTGACACTTTTTGGCGTACAATATTTTCATCTAGAAATGAATTCCTTCAATCAAACTTGTGGGATTTTACTTTAAAAGTACAATTCAACAAAAATATAACCTTTTAACCATTTGCGACTTTTAAATGTGAATATTGGAATGTGAATGACACTAACGTGTGAATTGATTTGTTCTAGACAAAGGGAAAATAATTAGGAAAATAAAAAATAGCACTGACCCAGCCCAATAGCTATCATATTTTTCGTTTTTGAGGTGACCGGTGATTAAGCGGAAGGGAACAGTTGGCAGTCGGTGACCCGTGGGAAGAAAAGGGGGAGAGGGTTGACCCCCGAGGCTCAACTAGATTGTCCGACCACCTCCCCATTCACCTCTCCTCTTCACCCTATAATCCCGAAAGAAATCACGTGATGACCCTTTTCTTTCATTTCTTTATTCCCACTCACACAAAGGGCAACCAGCCGTCCTTTTTTTGATTGAGAGGTTGCTTGTACTTTTGGAAATGGCAATCTTGGGATAGCCAAAGTCTATCAGTTTTTTTTTTGACTGAAACAATTTTTAATTTTCAAGGTCGATTTGCAACTCTTATTAAGTGGAAAATCCATTTACTCTTAACAAAGTTTGTTTGTACTTTTTGAAAATGATTATTAGGATGGCTTCTACGATTTTGCGATACAATGAAACCAGCAGATTTTTGCTTTAAATAAGTTTTTAAGGGTCAAGCTCGATTAATGTAATTATCTCTTTCTAAACATTTTTTTTATTCTTTTCGTTGAAATCTCTGATTTCTTCTCATTTTCCCGATTTTCTCTTATCTTTGCTTTCAGAAAATGTCAGAAAATGGTTACGGATTAGCCCCGGACGGGCGACCGAAAGGAAACAAAGTCTGGGTGGATGGATGGTAAGAGATTTTTAAAGGAAAAAGGGGAGTGGGACAAATGCGACCTTTTTTTTGCGTACCCGGACATTTGGGCAGCTTTTTTTCCGCACCTTGCCCATTAGCGCACCTTTTTTCGCGTTTTAAAAAAGCTCTAAAAAGCTAATATTAACCAATTTCTATTCCAAAAGTTGTTTTTCTAGGTAATTTTAGGGCGTAGAATCGAAATTTTGGCATATCAGAGCTTGTGGAAACAAATGGACGGAGTTATACAAAGAGAAAAATCGACAATTTTCTGTAATTTGATCTAGCCGTCTTGTCTTTCAAATTGTCGATTTTTCTCTTTGTATAACTCCGTCCGTTTGTTTCCACACGCTCTTTTATGTCAAAATTTGAATTCGACACCCTAAAATTACCTAGAAAAACAACTTTTGGAATAGAAATTGGTTAATATTAGCTTTTTAGAGCTTTTTTAAAACGCGAAAAAGATGCGCTAATGGGCAAGGTGCGGAAAAAAAGGTGCGCAAATGTCCGGGTGCGCAAAAAAAAGATCGCACTTGTCCCACTCCCGGAAAAAGAGTTCAACAAAGTACTAAAAATGTATTTAGCCAGAGCTAGCATAAGGTAATGTTGAATTTTTCAGTTTCGACATGGTCCATTTCGGGCACGCAAATCAAATTCGACAATCCAAGCAATATGGACGATGCTTAATCGTTGGAGTGCACACCGATGAAGAGGTAAAAAGTTAATGACTGTTAAAGGAAAAAGAAAAGAGAGAAGAAGACAAAGCTCGGAAAATCACTACGCAGTATTGAATACTAAAAGTCTTACTTTAGCTGATAAAACGCTCAAGTTTAACTTTGGCCTAATTATAGATTAAAAATATTGTTATAATTGTAGAATTTTGTTCAACGAATTGTCTTGTTTGAGGGGTTTTTTAGTGTTTACTCCCATCAATTCCTTACTGGATTCATTCGAGAATATAGAGATGATTACCTGAAATTAAACACTGATTCTTTTGATCATTAACTAGAACAAAGGTGTGAAGAATAAAAATTAAAGAGAATTTTAGAACAGACATAGAGAATGCTCAATTTTCAATGCTCTAGGTGTTCTCAGAAGTCTTCAACTGTGCAAATTTCAAACATTGATAGAAATAAGAGTTAATTTTTGCAGAAACTGATACTAGATGGATTTTTCTGCCTTACAGGTTTTAAGGCAGATTCCCTGAAAACAGAAATTTACCTAACAATTACCAAATTATCCGACAATTAAAGAAGGGGTTCGAATTATCACCGATTCTCAATGAAATCAAATTATAGATGTAGTAAGATAATTTTTGATAAATAATTAAATAGTAAATCGATTTATCAATCATTTATAAGGTATGGAATCTGATGAAATATCTCAGCGTAGCATCTTAGTTTAACAAAAATTCAACCCAAGTTCCAATTGGTAGACTCAAAAAAATGAATGACTTCAATCGATTCCCCCAGAAGCCCGTGGGTACCAATTTACGGCTGAATATCTTTTGAAGCCATCTACCAAGCAAAAGAAAAACCTCATAAAAGGTGTTCTTTGCGCGGCCGCGTAATCGCTCGCCATCTGGCAAACCGCTTTGGTATATGGCGCTTCCCTTTTCGAATCCGTAAAGAGGAAAAAAACGACTGATCTTTCGCGATTTTTGCATGTTACTATGCCTAAATCCCTGGGATCAATTTTCTGGCTCAAATCTGGCCATACTTTTGATATCAGTTCCGTATCAGTTCCCTTAAATCATTGTATTACTTACAAATAGGCTAAACCGAGAAAACAGTGCGATCTACAAAAACTTAATATTTTGATTAAGCTATTGACAAACCAAAGAAACAAAAGTCAAGATCGTTTCACCATTGTTTTAAAGATTAGCGCTGTAGTGTAGGCTTGAAAAAGCGTAAATCCGATTTTAACTAGCAATTGATCAAAGTTTCAAGTAAACCATAGAATTTTTCACTTTGATTTTAATGTTACAGCTTCGTTTTCTAGATCAGCTTGAACAAAGGCCCACCAGTTTTCACCGAAACCGAACGATACGCTATGGTTCGTGCGATTCGTTGGGTTGATGAGGTAAAAATGAAGATATCCAGTTCATTGGTTGAAGCTTAGCTTTAACTTTTATTGAAAAGTTTAAGCTAAAGCTCTAAACAACTGAACTTTGCAGGTTGTTGAAGGAGCACCCTACACAACCACTGTTGAAACCCTTGACAAGCACGATTGTGACTTTTGTCTGCATGGAAGTGAGTTTAACCAAAAACAGTTCGAAAAGGCTCATTAATATAGTCTTTTTAAGAACACTTTTATACATTTCAGACTATATTATTGATATACTAAAAATCAAATGATAAAATTTTATTTTAGATGATATCACTCTTGATGCTGAAGGACATGATACTTATGCTGAAGTGAAGAATGAAGGACGATATCGAGAGACTCTGCGGACACAGGGAGTCTCCACTTCGGTGAGTGATGTTTCACTCAATGAGCTGTGACTATGTAGCTGTGATTATTAGAATAAAATGATGCTATAGTTTGATCAGTGAAGCATTTAAGTATTAGTTTTTTAGGCAATTTTAATTCCCGATCAGAGGCATCATTTCAAATCCACTTCAATCCTCATTTTCACTTGTATAGAGTCAGCATTGAGTCTAGCGAATCAAACCGGATTTAAACTAAAAGAAAAAAGCCTCAACTTTTGCAAGAACCACTCAATAACCAGGCATTCCCAAGTTTCAAATTAATCAATCATCTTTTAAAGGAAGAATTGATAAATACTTGACTTTGACTGATAATACAGTGAATTATGAAACCTTTTTGGAAAAGTTATTGGCAAACTGACTATTGACTGACTTTATATTTTTGTTGAATAGTACTTTTAAAGTAAAATCCCACAAGTTTGATTGAAGGAATTCTAGATGAAAATATTACCAAAGTGCCAAGTGTTATATAGAAAAACAAAACCCTTTATCTATCTATAAAGAACTTGCCGATTGAAATTATACAACTCAATTTACAAGCTCTCGAATGAGTCTAAGTCGGCCTCTCTCCGGTAATCTGCCATTTTTCACACTTTTTGGCACACAATATTTTCATCTAGAAAGGAATTCCTTCAATCAAACTTGTGGGATTTTACTTTAAAAGTACTATTCAACAAAAATATAACATCAATCAATAGTCAGTTTGCCAATAACTTTTCCAAAAAGGTTTCATAATTCACTGTATTATCAATCAAAGTCAAGTATTTATCAATTCTTCCGTTGAAAGATGATTGATTAATTTGAAACTTGGGAATGCCTGGTTATTGAGTGGTTCTTGCAAAAGTTGAGGCTTTTTTCTTTTAGTTTAAATCCGATTTGATTCGCTAGACTCAATGCTGACTCTAGAGAAGCTTATACAGCAAGAAATTCTCAAATGAATATTTGAAAAAGCACAATTTTCCCTTATTTCCAAATGAACCCAGAAATCAACCCCAATTTTGGTTTTGAAAGTTTGACAAAAGACTTTACTGCTATTCTTATTCCTATTAAATGCTTTTTTCAGGATCTCGTCGGTCGAATGCTATTGCTGACCAAGACACATCACGAGCGTGACGATCATCTCTCGGATGAGCACTCCGAAAGAGCTCGCACACTCAGCACGGTGGGTAGAGATGGAGGACCACGGATTGACGAAATGGCATCGATGCATGATCATGTGCGTGTGGGGAGAGAGATTCCAATGATGAGAGGAATCGAAAATGGAGGAAAGGGAAGGGACGGTGGTGTGCAAGATCATCGATGTTTGGGTGTCTTGTCACCGAAACATCGTACTCCCCGTCGTCGTCCCCTTCATCCATCTTCTTCCACTCAAAATGATCTCTCTCGTCCCCAAAAACCCTCTATTGATTCCTCTATTGTGAGTTTTTTTGGATCGTTTTGACTCTTCCTCTGTTTTCACCTTTCATCTATTTTCTTGGGAAATCTCGCAAGTAAGCCTACGTTATTTGAAAGCTAGAAGCTGAAAGCTAACAGCTGAAAGCTAACAGCTGAAAGCTAGAAGCTGAAAGCTAGAAACTGAAAGCTAACAGCTGAAAGCTAACAGCTAAAAGCTGAAAGCTTAAATGTAAGTTTGTCTAGTTTTATAAATGTTCACAAAAGATACCAAAAGTTATTAAAAGTAGATAAACAAGAGAGTAAGATTACGGTAGTCAAAAAATTTCCACGTTTTAGAAAGCGCATTAAGTATTGTACACATCTATTGTAAGCTGTATTTTATTGTAATTGTATCTATTGTCATTGTAAGCTTTTAGAGGCGCTGTATAGCAAATTCTGGGCCTGATTCTTGTTAGACTAGTTTGCGTAAACATTCATTAGCTGGTGCACTCAGTTCCTTCTTTTGAACCAGCTCAAGTCCATCTCAAAGTGCTTATATTTTGATTTGATTTGGGTAACGTGCTTATATTTTGAGTCCTTATATTTTAAGACCGATTTTTAACTAAAAATTTGCAAAGAGTAAGCAGATTGGTATGGATTTGGGAATTGATATAGAAATCTCAATCTTTTCCATTCTAAATCTAACAAAAAAAAAGCTGTTGTCGTTTACAAAATCAAACTGAAAACTTTTCCGAAAAGCTTGTTCTACGATGCCCATAAGGTCCTTGCTCTTGGTTTATTTCAACAAAGCCCCCCAGCTTATGAGAATAATGCTTTCCTTTTAATCCATCTCAATGAATTTTCCTTGTTTTTGCGTGTACTCACAAAAAGAAGTGATCTTGTCCATTCCCAAGTCCATGTGTTGTTTACGGGTCTTTTCCCCGATCTTCAATCCATATCGTTCATTGCAAAGGAGGGGTTTCTTTCTCTTTGTTGTAATGTGGAAGTATTGGGCTTTCTGTTGGTGTTTTTAAAGGAAAAGAGAGCAGATTCAGAGGATTCGGTTTACTTTTTGATTTGTTTGACCATAGGATTAAGCCTAAAGTTTACCTATGACTTAAATAAATTAATTTTTATCTAATTTATCTCAAATAATTAGTTGGCCTTAAAGAAAACTAAAAAAAAACCCCAATAAAAACTATTCAAAAACTGAATTGACCTACCGTATACCAATTTAGTATATTGTAGACTCGTTTTACTCATTTTAACATTCATCCTTTATCTGTAAATACCAGCAGAAAGGGAGCTGGTGAGGCGGGGAACCCATACAAATGACTAAAACCACCGTAACCCATGTTAAGTCCCGCCTCTTTTTAAAAATGGACTCAAAAGCCAGATTCCCCATAGCCGAAAACCCCTGGGAGTAAATATCGCGCGCAAAAGCTCAATACATTCCCTTTTAATTGATGAAGCAAACGTAATTACGGAGTGTCGCGTTTGCGGCACAGACGGACAGACAGACGTCTCGTCTGTTTTATATATAGTAGATTCCGTTATCAGTTTCAAAAATTTAGCTTGACCTTGGACTTGTAGCAACACACATTTCAAAATATATTCAATTTTATAGAGTTATATTTTTCTTTGAAAAGTTGATCTTTGGTCGCTTTGAATAGCTAGATGGATAAGGTTCAACAGTTGGGAGTAGCTAGATGGGTGATCTACACCTTATGCCTCTCTCACTATTCGCTCGGAGCCCATTTTACGACCCTCACCCACTCCCAATCTCAGCTGACATTCAACATTTGCTGAGTAGCAGAGCCCTAGAGCACTTTACTAGATTTCGGTCCCGATTTTGAATATCGATTTGGCATGTATTGCCTTGTCTGATTGTTCTTGTCCAAGTTTATTGGCTTAATCTATTCGAAAATTCAATTCTAGAGCGAGGACACGGCTTCTCCTTACACCCGAGTTTCCCGTTTTGTGGCCACCTCGAGAACGATCCTCGAGTTCGCCTCCGGGCGAACTCCGAAACCCAGTGATCGGGTGAGTCTTGAAAATGAGAGCTAAAAGAGAAAGCTTGTCTATCATTTTTAATTCTTGCAAGATCAAAACTTACTCTTCTAGATAGTTTATGTGTGCGGTGCTTTCGACCTTTTCCACTATGGGCATTTGAGATTTTTGGAAGAGGCAAGGAAGCTCGGAGATTATCTTATTTGTGGGATTCTAGGAGACTCGGTGGGTTGATGAAAATGTTTTCAAAGAATACTATGCTTAAAATATAAAAGAAAAAAATATACTTAATCAAGTCTTCATTAAACATTTGAAGATTTTAGACAGTCAACTCGTACAAGGGTGGCAATCATCCGATCATGTCTCTTCACGAGAGAGTTCTCACCGTGCTTGCTTATCGGGTAAGTCAATCAAAAAAAGGATCTGATATAGCAAAATTAGCTAAAGATAAGTTAAAAGAAAGGTAGCTTTTGAGGTTAAAGTTTTAAAATTTCCAATTCCAGCCTGTCGATGAGGTGGTGATCGGTGCTCCCTATATGGTTTCCGATGAAATGATCGATCGTTTCAATATTTCGGTTCGTTTAACTGTCTAACTATAAGTTTATAGTCATTTTTTACCGTAAAGCGTATCATTTTCAGTTGGTTGTTGTTGGTTGTGAGGTTCCGCATCACGAGCACGATTGTCCGGATGCTTTTGAGGCGGCAAAGAGGAGGGGAATCTATCGAGAGGTGAGATTCGTTTTTGATTTACACCATAATCACAATAAAATAATTTATTTATACTTTGAAGTATTGTCCAAGTTTTAAAATTGAAGCGAAAAGTTTCAAATTTCAGGTTGAATCCGGTTCCAATCTCACCACCGAGGGGATCATCGAGCGAATCATCAAGAATCGGTATTAAAATTAGAGATTTTGAGATAGTTAAAAAGTTCTATAGAATATAATGTAATATTCTTTAGTAAAAGAAGAATTCTTCTCTCTAGCTCCTGATTTTAGAATGGAGTACGAGGTGCGCAATCGGAAAAAAGCAAAGAAAGAGGCGGCTGCTTTGGAGGCTCTTGAGAGACTGCAGGTAACAAATTGCATAATACAAAACATTATTGGATTGGTGAATTGAAAACTGCGGGCTATTGTCATATGTGACAGTTTGAGCACTTTCTTCAAAAGAAACCCATTTTGGTGTCAATGGAAAAGTTGTAGAGAATCAAAAATCAAGCTTATATCCAAATTTTCAGAAGGATTCAAAAACTGGTTTTCAAGAAATGCCAAATTTACGAATTTTCACAAAGCTTGAATTTTCAGCGAAACTACTAAGTGTATCTTTTTGAAAATTTGGCTATAAGCCTAATTTTTGATTTCTACAACTTTTCTATTGACACCAAAATGGGTTTCTTTTGAAGAAAGTGCTCAAACTGGGACATCTCCAGTCCTTCATTTTTGAGTCTCACACTTATCTCACACACAAACCAAAATCCTACTACGAAAGAGGAATCCGCAAATTGCTTGTAAAATGGGCAGAAGTCGTCAATAATAATGGAAATTATTTGGAATGAATTCATGGTTTTATGTTGAATAAATTTCAAGTTCAAAGTCCCGCAGTTTTCTATTCACCAACCCAATAAAAGGACTCAAGATAGCAAGTTTCACCATTTGTTGACTTTTTTTTTTGACTTTGATCATCTTGTTGGTCTTGTTGACCAAGTTGATCAAGTTGATCTTGATGTTCCTGTTGCACTTGAACTTGTTGATCCATTGATTGAGAGCCTGTTTCATCCAGCGGTTTCAAAATCACTGTCGCAAAACCGGTCGACGTTTTCACCAACACCGGAACTCCATCCTAGAGTTTAGCTAGAGTTATAAAGTCATCACATTTTCTCAAGCCTTTCAAAAACAAATTTTTTTTAAAAGTTTTAATTCTCCAACCTAATATATTACCGTAATTATAAGCTAAAGTTATTGTAATGAAGATTTATTTCAAATTTCCTAGTAAAATTACAGGGTGATACGACGAAAGCGATCAAGATCACTGCCGAAGCGGCTGAGAGAGCCGAGCCAACACGGAAATGGGTGTAATCATCAAAATTCATCTTATTTTCTTTACCCATACATCCACCCACATATTTTCAAAACTTTGAAAGTTTTACTTCCTGTCTAAGTCTTTTTAAAAATGAATATCTTTTCAAAATCGGCAAAAAGGTCAACCTGAGAAACAATGGGCTTAAAAAAAAGCAAAAAGAATAAGTAAAATGGGCAAAAAATTTGAAAAACTTGGTCATATCCGGGAATTTTTTGAATTTTTCTATATCTTGAAGCTGAATTTTTCAGTTTTCTGTGAATTTTTAAAGAAATTTTTGAAAAATTCGTTAATAAAATCGAAAATTTTCAAATTTTCTTTTGATACTTTTGATAAAATTGAAACTTGTCGCTTTAATTTAAAAATTTGGACAATACTTCAAAGTATAACGAACTTATTTTATGGTGATTATGGTGTAAATCAAAAAAACGAATCTTCGAAAAAAATCCCCCTCCTCTTTGCCAAAATTGAAAGGTATTCAAAATTTATAAGCAAGTTTTTGGAAACTTTTTAATAAGATGGGGATTTTGGGATTCTGGGTTCATTTTTTTTGAACATAAACTATAATAAATTGAAAAAATGTGACGAAAATCCCGAAGCGCTCGAAATTAGCATTTAAGCCAATGCTGATAACAAAATTTCTTTATTTTCGAAATTTTCATTGAAAAATTTGGGATTTTGCTTTTTTATTTTGACGTTTCGTCTCTTGGGAAATATTTTTGAGTTTTTTTTTTAACTAAAATTTAGCAAAAAAGCTTTTTGGGATCTGGCTAATTGGATGGGATGTTTGTGATCAGATTTTCTAGAGGGATATGAGAGCATTCGGCTTTTAAACAAGCAGAGCATTGTTCTGGAACGCATGCTATCAATAGAGCAAAATTTCGACTTCTATTTCAACTTGTTGAAGATTTTTATTTTTCTACTTTAACATCGATTTTGATGCTTTCCAGGATGATGATTTTTTCGTAAAATAAAAACTCAAAGTTATTTTCACTCTTAAAATCCTCAGTAAATATTTGTATAGCTCAGCTCAGTTGTGAGCCTTTTTTGAGGTGAAAGATTCTCTGAAATCAGATACATTTCTCAGAGCTATCCAAAAAACAAAAAAAAAATCTTTGAACTGAAGAGTTCGTCAAATTTTAACTCCACTATTTTTCCTTTTGATGAAATTTGGGAATTTTAAGGCGTAGGCAAACAAATTTGATGCGAAAAATGGAAAAACTTCACATCATTCGAAATTTTTCCAAAGAATAATTCACAATTTTCACGCGCCACGACACTTTTTGACATTTCGCTTTAGGGTTTTGAGTTGAAAGTTGAGAATTTATGGACAATATTGGAAATATTCAAAAGATAAGGTCTTCCGTACTATATAAATCGACTTTAGATCCACCCACAGAAGTTTTAAACAACTTTCCTATTAACTTTTTAAAGCTTTTCAAAGTCGATGGGTTTTTAAACGATTTTCCTTTTGGACTTTTCGTGTTTTCAAGCCCATTCTAAGCCTCTTTCTTGTCATTTTGAGCTCAAGATCTCGCCCTAAATCCCTAAATTCCTAATCTCAAGATCCCCAGTTTTGCCTTCCCAGATACTCAAAACCAGCATCAAACTAATGCAAATAGGTAACAGCTGCCCCAAACTCTTTCCAAGTTCATCCCTAGATCTACCCAGATTCAACTCTTATCACATTTAGAGCTAATTAGACTCCATGAGAAGCAATTCGACAAAATGAGAAGAAAACTTGACAGATACACACCCAGCTTTTCTATTGAAGTTCTAAGCTACTTTGAGAAGATTAATGGAGATTTCTTATAGTCTAGGAAAGCAGATTAAGCCTAAAATCAGTCACAAATACCGTTTTTTACACTCAAAGCAGCCAATTCTTAGATTATCTAAGATTTCAAGCTTTTCTAAGTTCCTGTATCTTTTAGTATCACAAAATTGAAAACTTTTCCTTCTCTATTTCCAATTCTTTACGAGAAACGGATTACGATTTTCCTCTTGAATTGTTTTTGCATTGGAATTTTTCGTGAAACGTTGTAGAATTCATTTCAGGCAAAAATCGTCAGCGCTATTAAATTCTTAAACTTTTATAAATGTCTAGCGTAAGCGGAAAAGCTCAAGAATTTATTGCTTTTAACGAAATTTCAAACTTTTCAATAGATAAATCTTCAGTAAATTTTTGATATGGTTTCCGGGATGAAGCTTTATTGTGTAGCCAAGGAAAGACTCCAAAAGTGGATTAGTGAATTCCGAATGGACACTGAAAATATCTCATGATGTCAATGATTTGTTTCCCGCGCATTGAGCTGAATTCGTTTTCCGTGAAATTTGTTAAATGACTTCACTAGCCACCCCCGCGCAATCTCTGCAATTAGTTTTTAAAATTTCGAAATTTCCCAGTGAGATTAGGCCTATAAAGCCCACTTCATTAGGCCTATAAAGCCCACTTCATTAGGCCTATAAAGCCCACTTCATTAGGCCTATAAAGCCCACTTCATTAGGCCTATAAAGCCCACTTCATTAGGCCTATAAAGCCCGCTTCACTTTACGCTTCCCGCGCATTGAGCTGAATTCGTTTTCCGTGAAATTTGTTAAATGACTTCACTAGCCACCCCCACGCAATCTCTGCAATTAGCTTTTGAAATTTCAAAATTTCCCAGTGAAATTAGGCTTATAAAGCCCGCTTCCCAGGTCAACTATGCCGAATTTGTAAATTTTGTTTCAAAAATTTCCCACGTTAACTAAAAAGAAGTCACTTTTTTTAGCTTTATGATTTGAGAGCCGTGCTCTTGTCTTTATTATTTGAAGTACGAAGTGGTGATTCTAGAAGAGGCAAAAGATTTTTGGCACCAGACGCGTTCGTACCCCGATCACGCGATCGGGAAACGAACGCCTAGACCACTTGGCCAAAGGGACATCTTCTGGAACATTCTGGAATTACCACTATATCCTACTATTTCCCTATTTTATACGTTTTCATTACTTGAACCATTTTCTGTGTCTATTTTTGTCGATTTCATTTTTTTTCTTTGCTTCTGATCCACCCACGAATTTGTTCCAAAGGTGAATTTTTCCTTTTTTTTCCTTTTTTTTTGTAAACGCAAGTCCTCTGGAACACAGAAATCTCGGTTTCAAGGCACTAAAAGGCTTGGGTTTAAAAAGTTTATGCCAAAAAAACGACAATTCTATCAAAATACATTAAAAACTATCGATTTCGCAAGTTTGTTTTTTCCATTTTTCTCCTCCTGGAACCCTTTCGTGTGCCGAATTTTCGGTGGATTCGCTTGATTGTTGTGAATCCCAATCGTTGTGTGTCCCTTTTTGTGCCATTTACTCTCAATTTCAGCCTTATTTTTGCTACTTAAATTTTTGTACTTATTGGTTGAAATTTCATGAGGTTTTGATGTAAAAATGAAATCTTTTTGATTAAACTATTACTCTCACGATTCAATGACGCCATTGGGTAATCGAATTTGCGCAAACAAAAAATGAAACAACAAAAATTGAATGCTTTTGAAGCAAGAACAGCAAGAACATTCTCCTGTTCATAACGTAGCTTTTACATGAATTCAAAAGATTCCCTTTTTTGTACCAAAATCACTAGTAAACGATCAATGAAATGTAAAAAATTCCATTTTTCTCTTCCTGGAACCCTTTCGTGTGCCGCTTTTCTTTCATTTTCTTTATCATTAGATAATATTTGATAATGATATTTAAAATTTAAGAAAAAACAACAAAAATTGAATGCTTTTGAAGCGAGAACAGTTGATTCTCCTGTCCATAGTGTAGCTTTTACATGAATTCAAAAGATTCCCTTTTTTGTACCAAAATCACTAGTAAACGATCAATGAAATGTAAAAAATGTTGAAAAATGATGATGATCGCAATATTTTCGATCGGTGAAACAAGAAAATGTGTGAAATTTGACTCCAAGGGGTGTTCGTAGATTGAACAAAAGAACAAGAAGAGAACCAGTAAAAGAATGAAAGGAGAGATCATTGACCTCAGGCAGTTCAAAGAGAAAATTCCTCCAAATTTCTTGTTTTCATTATCAAACGAACTTCGGAGACTTACGCAAGGTTGCTTGGTGATTTTGACTGATTTTTGGAACTGTGCCTTTCTTCCAGCTATTCATTTCACATACTTTTTGTTTTCACAAAGTATTTGACTCTAAACTCTAAATTTCTCTATTTTCAGTTTCTAAATCTCTTTATTTCCTCGAAATTTCTTAATTTTCAGCGTAAAGCTTGGCATTATTCAAATTTTAACTAAGCTTTCTTTTATTTCTTTTATTTAATAAGTTTTAAGCGACTTGCAAGCTCATTTCTTCACTACTATGTAGTTTTTCAGATAAATAGAATTTGTTTCTGTTTGCCTGATTTAAAAGTGAAAAGATAAACACCAGTGAATATTGTACTGCTAGTACAATATCTAGTACAATATGTACTGCTAGTACAATATCTAGTACAATATCTGGTACAATATGTACTGCTAGTACAACATGTACTGCTAGTACAATATCTAGTACAACATGTACTGCTAGTACAATATCTAGTACAATATCTAGTACAATATGTACTGCTAGTACAATATCTAATGAGATGCGTTTTAAATCAATTTTTGAATTTCTTTCTTTTTACTTGCCTACTTTACATGATTCTTGGAGCGATTGAACTAAACGACACGTGCCATTCAGCTGATAAGTATCGAAATTGTGAGTTGCGTAATGCTAATTTCATTCAAACAATCAAGAATCAAGGCATAATTACCCGTTTCCTCGCCAGATTCTTTGTGACTTCAAGATTTCAACTTCAACTACAGCTCAATCAATCGTCATTTTGTGATTGACTTCAAAAATTTCTCCAATAAAATTGCGTAAAATCTTCTTGGCAAGCTACAAGTGAGAAATTTGACAAAAAAATATGAAGGATTTTGAAACATTTTCGATCAAACTTTCCCGCAAAGCTCAAATTTCGTGACGTTTACCCGAAAA